ATAATGTATTTCTTATGGCAATAATTCCATGGCCGATTGTGATTGAAACCAAATTCGTTCGCTTATTGTCTCGCTGTTTTGTATTTTTGTCTCTATCGAGTGACGTAAAATCAAATATGGCGTCCATTTAAAATAAAGGAAGTTGATGTCAATGTCTGAAAATCCGCCATTTTGAAAATTAACTTAATATGGACATAGCTCTAGCCATAAACACAATTCCAAAAGTTGAGGCTAATTTAATTTATGAACTGAATTGTAAACTTTTTTATTTATGAAGTATGTAAATGAACTTTGATACAATTCACTTGGAAGCCCCAGTTTAAAAATTTGGTTTTCGCATGCTATAGGCATATCCAGGAGCTCGTTTGCTATAGTTGTTTACACGTTTATTATTAATTTTTCTTTGGCGTCTAATGCAATGTCGCTTGTTTTCCAGGTTTACAGGGAATATTGGTCTATGCAAATCCACCAGATGCGTGTAATTCACTGCTTAGTCCTCCAGATCTACCTGGTTATAAGGGGATGTTTGTAGTTTTAATAGCACGTTCACCACAAAACTGTTCATTTGAACATAAAGTTCGAATGGCGGAGAACGCCTCATATGATGGGGTCATTGTACATAACGTAGGATCGGACGAACTGGAACCGATGTCCGCAAAAAATAAAGTCGGAATTACCATACCGTCCGTTTTCGTCAGCGAGACCACGGGAAGAATACTGCAGGAAATGTATTGCAGTCCAGATTATTTTGTAATAATCAACTCGGAGATGCCGTTTAATTTTAATTCAACATTGTTAATTCCCTTCGCAATCGTCGTGGGGGTTTGTTTTATAGTTATGGTTATATTTATTGTAAGTTAACGATTGTGTCTGTACCAACATGATAGCAGCAAATGGTTTTAGGTTATCAAATTTATAAAAGATCGCAGAAGACAACGCAGGCATAGGCTGCCGTCTTCTACCTTAAATCAAATACCCACATGTAAATTTGCCAAAGGGGACCCATATGATACATGCGCAATTTGTCTGGATGATTATGTGGAAGGAGAAAAATTAAGAGTTCTACCTTGTGCGCACGGTAATTCAAATTGTGGTTTGATAAAGAGAAATATTTTACTAACTTTCTTTAGCGTACCATTGTAAATGTATTGATCCTTGGTTAACGAAAAATCGTAGAGTTTGTCCTGTTTGCAAACGGAAAGTGTTTGCTCAGCATGAATCTCATCACTCCAACTCCGATAGCGATTCCGATGCGGATGACACTACACCGCTAATGAACTCGAGTAATCAAATGTCGCACAGTGGTGGAACATTTGATTCTCTATCGGAGAATCCCTTTCAACGTGCTGCTCGATCTGCATCCCAGCATGCGGACGGAGTGAACTTAGTAACGGCGTCTGGACATCACAGTATAAATGGCGAGGTTGAAGCTAGTGACGATTCAGATTCATCTACTTCTTCCGATTCATCACACCATTCAACCGCTGCACTAATTACTCTCCTAAGGGACGTTGAAGAACAATTGCAAGGGGATTAAGTGCAGAAATTTGTCATCAGTTTCATTCTTACCTGGTCAATTTGATTGAAATTTGTATGTTTTCTGTTAACGTTTGGAACTTTAATACGGTGCTATTATTTAGTGATATGACTTTAGTTCTTATGATTATCTCTTTACATTTAGCTGTAGGTTTCCAATTATTTGGCTGCTTTTTTTAATGAAGTATTTGACTGTAATTCTTTATTCTGTATTTAAATGTATGTATATTGAGGACTTGAATATATGTAGAAATTAAGTGTAACGATATCGTTCCCAATACACTGCCATTACAGTCTCACCAGTTGGAAAATATATCCTTGTCCATTTCACTGAGCACACTACACTGTATAGGGAGCTTTTGTTAAACCTTTCTGGGAAAGTAAAATAGGTAGGTTTTTGAAAATTTGAACTTAGGAGTTACTCTGAAGGCCGAATCGATGTAAAATATTTTCAAAATGGCCGCACTTCTGGAAACACCGAAAGTAGATAGTAACTTCGTTATTTAAAATGCCAACCCGTATTTTTTATTGCATTTTTGGATTCTACGTGAAATTTCAATTCTTTTGATACCCATATGTCAATATCTGCCACTTATGGTTTTTAAGTTATTTTGACTTTAAGAAAAAAAATGGCGGATGCAGACGGTACCTTGATAATTGATTACTTGAAACGGTTGTAGTCATGGCAACCCATTTTTTACAGTGCATAGAGAATGGAATAGGGCTTTCTTTTAGTGTACTTAAAAAAAAGTTAAGTTGCGTACAACCGCACTTATGGAGATCCAAATTTAAGAAACTTTAAAGTCTATAAACTCAGTTTTTTTAAATGGAATGACCCTGTTCTTATTATTGCATGAGATAGAGAATCGAAATTGGCATATTTTGATATTACATATTCCTATAGCTATCTTTAACAGTTTCTGATTTATTCCCATTTCATTGAATTGATCTAGGAATTGATGCGATTTTTTCGCATTTTCTTTTTAGTAGTTGGCCATGATTTTATAACAATCGAATTTTAAACAAATCAAGGAATGGATTCGTTAATATCATTGATTCTAGTCTAAATAATTCATTAATAGGTAAATAAGTTTTTTGTTAAGGATATAGGACGGAAAATTTTTGAAAAATCTAGACAGAGTCGTTCAACTGAATTTCTTAAACAACGTATAAGTCTGGAAATTAAGAGAGGTAATGCGATATCTGTTCTAGCAACAATTCCATACCAAAAATGTTTCAACGAAGTTTTTTATATTTTGCATTGAATTTATTTTGTTAATGTTGCATTTGCAATTCAATTCATTCTCTTAAATATTCTCTTGTAGAGCTTTGTATCACTTGTGCTTCAACGGTTTGTAGTGCATTTGGGGGTACAACATTTCCAAAATTGATACAATTTCGTTCCAGTGTTCGAATGAATGTACGGCAAGCGCGTGCCGCAATTCTGTCCATTTCACCATAAATAACAATTAAATTCCAAAATAGGTGAAACCACTCCGAGTCATTTTTCGATTTTTGAAAAACCTATGTTCACCTATAACAGTAGGTGACGGATTAGTGTCACTAGATTTGTTTAAAATTCGATTGTTTTAAAATCATGGCCGACTACTAAAATGAAAATCCGAAAAAAATAGCGTCAATTCAATAAAATGGGAATAAGTCAGAAACTGTTAAAGATAGCTATAGGAACATGTAATATCAAATGTGCCAATTTCGATTCTCTATCTCATGCAATAATAAGAACAGGGTCATTCCATTTAAAAAAACTGAGTTTATAGACTTTAAAGTTTCTTAAATTTGGATCTCCATAGGTGCGGTTGTACGCAACTTAACTTTTTTTTAAGTACACTAAAAGAAAGCTCTATTCATTCTCTATATGCACTGATAAAAATGGGTTGCCATGACTACAACCGCGTTCTCAAGTTATCAATTATCAAGGTACCGTCTGCATCCGCCATTTTTTTTCTTAAAGTCAAAATAACTTAAAAACCATAAGTGGCAGATATCGACATATCATTCACGTAGAATCTAAAAATGGAATAAAAAATAGGGGTTGCCATTTAAAATAACGAAGTTACTATCTACTTCCGGTGTTTCCGGAAGTGCGGCCATTTTGAAAATATCGTACATCGAATCGGCCTTCAGAGTAACTCCTAAGTTCAAATTTTCAAAAACCTACCTATTTTACTTTCCCAGAAACGTTTAACTAAAGCTCCCAAAAAAACACCTTGTAGTTTACCATTGTTACTGATTTAATTAAAATGGAATTTAATTAACTTCACAGTTCCAACAATAACAATGACAACAGTCTTATTGGAACACAGTGTATTTCATCTACTGAGTTATCGTCGCGCCACGCTGTTATTAGTTCTGTATGGCGTTGTTGGAATTCTGATATGGCGCTACCCCATTCTATTATCACAGATTTAAATAAATCTGTGCTATTATAGTCTAGGAGCTACTGGCAAATTTTTTTTAACAGTTTCATTATTTTTGGTCTATTCGCGCATGCGAAAATGAGTTAATTTCAACTTTAGCGGCCTAGAACTTTTGTCAGGGCCACGGGAATATTCCGTAAAGCGAGATTCTGAAGTTCAAACATTTCCGAGCAGACTTTTGTGGTGTGGGTCCCAATTCTTTCTACTCCGAACAAAATTTTTGATCAATTTGGCGGATCCCCCGTTATATATATTATCATTGAATAAATTTTTATTCAATGATATTATGTAAGGTGAGTTGAAGTATAGATGGCGCTGACTCGCTACTGATCATGACAGTTTGACGTCCAGAGTTTCTAGTTGTCAAACCTAAAAAACATAAGTGTCAAACCTCCAACTTGAGCAGGGTTATCCGGCAGCGGCACTCCCTTCCTGTATGAATCGTATAAGTGGAAATGCTGATAAATAATGAAATTTCATAACAAGTGAAATATTTATAACCTATTAACTGTGTTTACCTATTGGCAAAAATTTTCAATACCGAATCCAGCAAGATTCTAAGAGGCCAAATGTCTGCAACAGATAGAGTGTCTTTAACCGATGCCTTATCCAATGTGGATGTGTTGGACGAATTGCCCCTACCGGACGAACAACCATGCATCGAAGCTCAACCGTGTTCTGTTGTTTATCAGGCCAACTTTGATACTAACTTTGAAGACCGCAATGGTTTTGTTACTGGTATTGCTAAATATATTGAAGAAGCGACTGTGCATGCCAATTTGGTACGTACAAAATTGTCAAATCAAAAATATACCGTTGATTCTTGTAGAATGAGCTGCTAGATGAGGGTCAGGAACATGCCGTTATGTTGTACACTTGGCGATGTTGTTCGCGAGCAATTCCACAACCTAAGTCAAACGAACAACCCAATCGCGTGGAAATTTATGAAAAGACTGTCGAAGTACTGGCGCCCGAAGTGAATAAACTCTTAAATTTTATGTATTTCCAAGTAAGTTCGAACGTAATCCTCGCATATTAATTGGGCTTACATTTTTGTTAGAGAAAAGCGATTGAGAGGTTTTCACAGGAAGTAAAGCGACTTTGTCACGCTGAAAAACGAAAAGACTTCGTATCCGAAGCGTACTTATTAACTCTGGGCAAATTCATAAACATGTTCGCTGTGCTCGACGAGTTGAAAAACATGAAGTCGAGTGTCAAAAACGACTATTCCACGTATCGTAGGGCTGCACAGTTTTTAAAAGTAATGTCGGATTCGCAAACTTTACAGGAATCGCAGAACCTATCCATGTTCTTGGCGACCCAAAATAAGATACGCGACACGGTCAAGGAAAATCTTGAGAAAATTAATGGGTATGAGGAGCTGCTGGCCGACGTTGTAAATATATGCGTGCATATGTTTGAGACTAAAATGTATCTTACGCCGAGTGAAAAGCACATGCTGGTTAAAGTAATGGGTTTTGGATTATTTTTAATGGACAGCGAACTGTGCAATATTAACAAATTGGATCAAAAGAAAAAGTTACGCCTAGATCGTATTGATCGCATATTTAAGGTATGTTCAGTTGATTCTTGGTAAACTGAAAACTAGGAACTGATCCTAGTTTTCAGTGTACCAAGAATTATGCAATGTCACATAAGTCTCAAATATTGTACATACAGGGTGTTTTCCATGTAGTAGTCAAACTAAAAATGGTATGATATTGTTTAAATCAGTAATCGACAGTGTTTAATCTATCATCTCAAAAAAAATATGCATTCATTTACAGTTTTGAATAGAATCTTCTTCATGGTTGGAAAAAACATGTTTTTTGTTCTTTTGTACATTCAGATATCTCTTTGTGATTTAGAATATAGTTTTTTTAAAGGGCACAAAAAATCCACCCTAAAAGTTCATAAATGCTGATACTGCATAATTGTAATACCTACAATGTTCTGCTTATCATCATCATTTTTTCTGGCAATATTAATATTATCCATTTGATATCATCACACTGTATATTTATACAATACATATTTTTGTTACATATGTACTTGAAAACTTAGGTTGATGTGCATTTGTAATTAATTAATCTTTTTTTTTTGCAGAATTTGGAAGTTGTTCCGTTATTTGGAGACATGCAGATCGCCCCTTTTAATTACATCAAACGCAGCAAGCATTTCGATCCAAGCAAATGGCCGTTATCAAATTCAAATGCACCTTCACCTCAGGCAGATCTAATGGTACACTTACCGCAGATTAGAGATGATCATGTTAAGTACATTAGCGAATTGGCAAGATACAGTAATGAGGTCAGATTAATTTTTAAAAAATTGTTCTTGCTTAAGTATAAAAAAATTGTAGGTCACGACGACGTATAAGGAAAGCGGTAGCGATACAGAAAACAGAGAAACTGCAGAGTTAGCACTTAGGGGTCTGCAGTTGCTTTCTGAGTGGACTAGTGTGGTTACAGAGTTGTATTCGTGGAAGCTGTTACACCCTACTGATCATCATCAAAACAAAGAGTGTCCACCAGAAGCCGAAGAATACGAACGCGTATGTATTTTCTAGTGTTATACAGCAAATTGTTCACAGTACCTACCATTTCAACAAATTTCAAAAGTATTGATTTGCTCTTACTGTCATCAATATCACTATTCATTTTGATTTTGTGGACATCCTTACACTGTAATAATGCGTTATTAAAATAACAGTTTCAGTAGGTAAGTAGGTAATTGCTGCATTGATAGTACGGCACCAATCCAATAATTTTCAACAGTTGACATATTTGTTCCAATGTTTACCTACATTAAATTTCACGGAGTTTTAATCACAACAGAAAATGTCCTAAGTACAACATTTGGCAGAATATTTTGTAATCATGGTCCTGTAAATTGAACCTGTCATACATTTGCATTTGTTAATCAAGGCAGACATTTCTACAAGTTGTGCTAATAATAGTACATTATATATCAAGGTAGAGAAGTCCACTATTATTGCCTGAGCACCAAGATTACATCTCGAGGCGCTTGCGCCGAGGGGTGTAAGGTGCGAAGTAATAGACTTCTCTACCGTGGTATATATACTATTTTTTTCACTACTAGCACTTGAAATCCTCTAAATTAACATATTATATTGATAAGAGAGTTAACGGTTGGACAGAATTTTTGTTTATTAATTTAACATGTCAATCAAGTACGTGGAAGTACAAGTCAAACGGGCCGTATTTTGTTCTGTCATTGAGATTTTTCAAAGAGTAATTTCGTTCGAATTTTTTCAAAATGTGATAATTTTAGGTATGTAATTTCTCTGGAAATTGTGAATGGTGGCAATTATTCGTTTTAGAGAACTTGTCTAAACGTTCATTGAGCGAAATTTCGGGTTGTGTTTTCTAAAAGTGACAGCGTGACAGTTCTCATTATTGACTACTAGTTGATAATAAAAAATTATTAACCACTTTGAACAAATGCCGAGAAAGCCTACTTTACAAGTGGAAAAAAGGTTAATAATCATGTCATCAGACGCTAGTAGTGAAAAAACACTATTTATTTGCGAAAATCAATGCTAGGTTACCACTATTAGTTCTGTAGCGAGTATCCCAGACATCTGGGCGCCAGCAGCCGCCACCAAGGCTTGATAAAAGATTAGTCACTGGCGATAAGCAATGAAATCAAATATGACACATTCTTTCTGAGAAATGTGATATGCCAACTTCGCAGGTGTTCGAGAATTCTTCAGATCTAGATTTCTAGATCGGAGTTATTCAGAGTTCAAGAATTGGCAATGTACACCAAAAAATTAGGAATGCTCTTTTGACATATCTGTTAGTTATGAACCGTGATATAATATGCAATGCCAAAAGTTGAAATACAGGAAAGGTTTCTTTATAATGACTATTGAATAATCTGCCGTTTTCAAAATAAGTATTGGGGGTTGGGGGTTAGGTTAGAAAATATAGTCATTTTGAAATAGACAATTTTTTGTTTTCCCCCCGTATATCTCTTAAGCAATGTTATGTTTTCCCATTTTAAGTTAATATCTTTTGATTTTCCATTTTTAGCGCATTTTTTAGGAATTAAAAAAATTTGCTATTGTTTGCGTTTTGTCTGTCGGTCCGTCCGGACCCACTTCTGCCGTTACGAACTACTTCTAGGGGAATGGTCCTAGAATCCTGGAATTTTTTGCAGTAGGTAGCCTATACCTTGAAGGTGTGCCAGACGGCCATCAAATTTCGTTGTCTGAAAGGCCCCCCCCCTCCCCCCAACCAATTGGTCTCAGATTTTGCATACGCATGCCTTTAGTGGTGCGAAGTTAAACTTTAGAAAATGGGATGGGGTGGCTGGGGAAACACATGTTCTACCCTTCATGGTATTCTAATAAAAGGTCTCATCAAAATTAATTGGTTTGTACACAAATTTCCCGTGCGACTCTTTTTTGAGATCAGTGAGCGACGGAACCTGAGGGGGGGGGGGGGTTAAAAATTTATTTTATCTCATTGTATTCTAATTAAAGGTCTCAACGAAAGGAACCGTTTTCTACCAACTACTGCCCTTCTTTCTGTCCCCATATCAAAGTACGGGGTGGAGGGGGAGGGGGAGTGGAAATAGTTTTATCGTTCATGGTACTCTAATGAAAGGTCTCAACGAAAGGAATTAATTTCTACCAACCATCGCCCTCTTCCTCGACCTCTTATCGTGATCGGGTATATTCCCTTATACCTCAAGAAGGGATTGTCGGAAGAGGGTACTCACAAAGAGCGATTGAGACGTCTGCAAGAAATATATCCATTGGTATGATGTCAACACAAAAGCTATTTCGGTTAAAAAGATGCGCTTTATCTGCACAAGAGTTGTGCACAATTTATACTTGTTTCTATTTCTCTTAGTCTTATCTTTGCTTGCTTCCTTCTATATTTAATTGTTCAACGCTTACGTTTTTTATTCTACACTGTTGTTTTTCTGATTTTTCAATGACTGACTGAACTCTTAAACGGCTGGACGGATTTTGGTGAAATTTTTTTAATGTATCCCTGTGTGTCCTCGGATGGTTTAGATTCACAATTGTGTCTGATCGGATTATAGGATTTAAAAAAAATATTTGTTCGTTGACGTTGCATTCTATTTCATGTACTGATTGACACGTGCTAAGTCACTTGCGTCGTCCCATACTGATGTGTTCATCTTTACTTTCTGTACGCTGGGTACAGTCAGTGATACTTGAGGCATAGGGAGTGATGCTGTCATTAACCATTGACCATACAGACTATTTTAATCATAATAAGTGCGACAAACCTACAGTGTAGGGAAAAAGTCATTCATTTTCACATTCAAATTGAATTCAGACTTTCAATTTTTTTTAAAGTCATGGTTGTAGGTATATTTGTACTTTTGTAGGCCACACGATATAATTACACAGATGAAGAAAAATTCGCCCTGATTGAAGTAATAGCAATGATCAAAGGCTTGCAAGTTCTAATGGCACGAATGGAAACTGTATTCACAGACGCTATCAGGCGCAACATTTACGCCGAACTTCAAGATTTCGTCCAGTTGAATTTAAGGGAGCCGCTACGAAAGGCGATTAAGAATAAAAAGGATCTGATTCGAAGGTACGTTTTCTTATAAGCTATCAAAACTGCTTATATTGTTACTTAATTTTTGCAGTATAATAATGTCTGTGCGAGAAACGTGCGCCGACTGGCAAAGGGGAGTTGAGCCTTTACAGGACCCGGCATTAAAAGGAAAGAAAGATCCTGACAATGGATTCGGTATTAAAGTACCCAGAAGAAATGTCGGTACGTACCTAATATTTTGTATTCACAATTTTGTACTTGTAATTTTAATATCACCCTTCCAATTTACTCAAATTTTGTTGATAACAGCCATTGTATAGATGCTACAAACTCCCCACTATGCATTATTTTTAGCAGCCATGCTTGCAAAACCATTAATGAATAAAATTGTCTTTTAGGTCCATCCTCAACACAGTTGTATATGGTACGTACAATGCTAGAATCATTGATTGCAGACAAGTCAGGCGGGAAAAGAACGTTGAGAAAAGATATTGATGGTCAATATTTGATGTTAATCGATCAGTTTCACAAAACTTCATTCTATTGGAGCTTCCTGCTCAATTTTAGTGGTAAGTTTTCATTCAACCTTTGATTGGTTGCGTTTTTGTGGTGATGTCTGTACATCTGTTGCTACCGTTTAAACAGGACTTTAGAAATATCAGAAAATATCTTTACAGAGTCGCTGAAGAATTGTTGTGATTTATCTCAACTGTGGTATAGAGAGTTTTATCTGGAGATGACGATGGGGCGTCGTATTAATGTAAGTTTCTTGTAAAACATGAATTAAGCCAACACAAATTTATATTAGAAATGTACCGTACGCCATCACCACAACGAAGAGTGCAATGACTTGGTTACAATGGAAAAACGTATACAGTTCCCAATCGACATGTCGATGCCGTGGATTTTAACTGATCACATTTTGAAAACCAAGGAACCTTCAATGATGGAGTATGTGCTTTACCCATTGGATTTATACAATGATAGCGCGTTGTACGCCTTGACGATCTTTCGAAAACAATTCTTGTACGATGAAGTCGAGGCTGAAGTAAACTTGTGTTTTGACCAGTTTGTCTATAAGCTCAGTGAGCAAATCTTCGCATATTATAAACAACTCGCGGCAAGGTAATCATTTTAGAGTCAAATTTCGTTCTGAAATTGAACACTTTCAGTATATTTTTGGATAAACGCTTCCGAGTGGAATGTGCAGCTTTAGGTGCGTATTTGCTACCGTATCCAAGAGCCAATCGTTACGAGACGTTATTGAAGCAACGCCATGTGCAACTTTTGGGCAGATCTATTGATTTGAATAAGCTTATTACGCAACGAATTAATGCTGACATGCAGAAATCTCTTGATTTGGCGATTAGCAAGTTTGAAGCTGGGGATATCACTGGTGTAATAGAGCTTCAAGGATTACTTGAGGTAAAGTAAGATTAGATTAACTAAATTTTCGTTACTTACTTAAAAACGGTTTTTCCAACTGGTTTCGTAAAGTTCGTCACGTCAAGCGACTCGAATACTAAAATCGTAACTAACACTATGGAAAGCAATAATTCAATTTAAGATATATAGCAAAAGCAAAATTTTGACTCGGCACGAGCTGTTTGTACAAATCGGCAATAGACATATAGAGGCATAAACATAATGTTAACTTCAAAAACTAATTTACAAAACAAAAATGTCTAAATTCATTTACAACAAAAGGTAATTGAAGGATTTGAAACTAACACAAGCAAATTCTTCGTAACGACACAAGTAACAAGAGACATGAATGCGAAGAGAAAACAAGGGCAATTATTTTAGTAGAAAAACACATTACGTTTCAATTTAGACAAAACAAAACACCCCATAAAATGATAAATTGCATGTATATAAAAAACATCATCAAAAGGGCATGGCTCTCTACTTCAGCATCCAATCATTTAACACGAAAAGTACAATTCACATGTGAAAATGGGAGGACTATGTTTACATGTTAGTTTATTACGGCACAAGCAACATTCATATATTAAACAGAAGAGACAGGGCCCCCCTTTCTCGTATTTCTTACGCAACGTCTGGCAGCGGAAACGAAAGAAATAGCAACATACAGGGTGATTCCTATAGTACCTGCCACCGTTTGGGAGCGTATAGGGGGTGCCTAGGGGAGTATTTTGATATAGGACACTTGGGGTCGGAAATCTAAAATAAAGGCGCCAGAACCAAATTTATCTTCTGGAATTTCACGCCTGTATGTAGGCAACCCAACCGACCGACGTTTCGCGCGGAGCGATGCAGAGCGAGTTAGCGCGAGGAAGCGACATGGGAGGGAAGGAGGGAAAACGACAGTCAAAAGCAATAACGTTTACAAGTGTTCAACGTGGCCACCGTTGTTCTCAATGCACTTCCTACATCTAGCCAACTATTATTATACTATTGCCATAGTGTTTATTCACTTGATACGCGTCGTTGCAGACGGGATTTCGTGGGTTTAAACAAAATTCTGATCAAGTGTCAGCCACACATCGCCGCCTGAGATCGCTCCGTGTGCACCGCCGGCCGGTTGGGTTGCCTACCTACAGGCGCGAAATTCCAGAAGGTAAATTTGGCTCTGGCACCCTTATTTTAGATTTCCGACCCCAAGTGTCCTATATCAAAATACTCCCCTACGCACCACCTACACGCTCCCAAACGGTGGCAGGTACTATAGGAATCACCCTGTATACAGCGAAGAATCGTAACTGTATGTGGTACTCAAATAGAGGATTCAGGTAACGATACATATAAAACACAGTTTAGAGCACGCCAAACAAATAGCAGCATTTTATGCAAAAGGTAAATAACAAATTGTGACATGAAATTCAAAGGTTAATGGTTAGTATGAGAGAGAATAAAATAATTGCTACCTGTAATTATCCTTTTCAAAATGTTGTGAAACATGGTGTCATTCTCGAGGGCTCGGAGTCTAGTGACCCACGTTATCTTCTCTTGCCAAGCTTTGTACCCCAGCATCTCCGTAGATGGTAGAATGGTCAAAGTCGAAGACATCATGCTTGTTGTATAGATACATAGAGCGTTTCGTATTTTTTTCATATTGCTATACTTTTGGATGTACGAGGTGTTGCCTAATCGTATCGGAGGATTTTTATAACTTTGGGCTTTCAAGAACTTTTTAGACCTCATCGATCTAATGCCTGCACTCCGGAATGTTTTTAAAGTAGATTTAGAAAACTTTTAATAGATATCCCCGCCAGTTCAGCGATGGGAGTGTGGGAATCCCTTCTGTCCAGGTAAGGAACCCTTCCGTCAATCGCCAAAGTGGCTCCACAGCAGGCTCGGCTATGAAGGTTGCTGGGGAATGGTTGTGGGCAGGCGGACGCTAGCAGTTTTTTTATTGCACCGTTTGAAAAGATTTCGTTACCTGATGAAACTAGTTGGAAAACACGCAAACTGTTCAAATAATGTTATTCATACAAGAGCTAAAAGATGACCAATATATCGTTATTTTAGGTAAACCGTTTATGCCACAAATTGTTAAGTAAATGGTTGGCACTAGACGATTACGATTCGATGTTTAGGGAAGCCAACCATAACGTTTTGGCTCCGTACGGTAGAATAACCTTGCACGTATTTTGGGAATTAAATTACGATTTTCTACCGAACTATGTGTATAACGCCGCTACGAATCGGTAATGACATCCCCAATGTTCAGCAATCACGTTAATTTTCTACCGTTTTAGCTTTACAAAGTACAAAGGTCAGATAGCCTTCACTCCGCCGGTGCATCGTGATAAACCACCGCAAATGTCGCATCATTATTTGTGGGGGACCAAGCCGTTAAACATGGCGTATACTACTCAATACACACAATACTCTGGTAAGTGTGAAAATTGTGATTTTAAATGTGACAGTTTTTCTGTAGGTTTTGTTGGTCCACACCATTTCCACGCTATGTGTAAGCTACTAGGCTATCAAGGAATTGCAGTTGTAATGGAGGAACTGTTGAAAATTGTTAAGTCCCTAGTGCAAGGGAATTTGCTGCAATTTACCAAAACGCTTATGGTTGCAATGCCGAAAGTGTGCAAACTGCCAAGATATGATTACGGATCGCCAGGTATACTAGTTGAGCGTAATGTCATTGGTAATGATTTATTGCGTCTATAGGTGTGTTGAGTTATTACCACGCCCAACTAAACGATATTGTTCAGTACCCTGACGCAAGAACGGAACTGTTCCACAATTTCCGAGAATTTGGAAATACTATACTGTTCTGCCTGTTGATGGAGCAGGCTTTATCGCAGGAAGAGGTTTGTGATTTACTTCAAGCTGCTCCGTTTCAGAATATTTTGCCAAGACCTTTTTGCAAAGGTAAGTAGTCCTGGTTGATCGCAAACATTCTCTTGTTAGCGCATTGTCGATTTTTAAAGGGAGCTTATAACTTCACTAACCTGTTCCGCATTTGTTACTGGGGAGGGGGGGTGTCTACAAAACAACTGCTCCTTCCCCCCTGAAAATTTGTGAAAATCAAAGGCTTCCTATAAAATGCAGTTGGTCAACACCACATTGGCATGGAACACAGGGTGCGTCAAATACTTCCACCTTTATTGCTTAAAATCTATTGGTGCTACTAGAAAAATTAAGCATTAAGTAGCGCTAGCACAAAATAAAGTTGATGATTTAACCGTACTGTTCCGTGTGAAAGAGAAGGACGCAGCATAACACCTGCTTGTGGGATCTTGTACTAATATGCAGTGGTGTATTGGTAAATTACGGTAAACGTATATACAGGCGTCCGTTTAACCGGTAGGAGGGGGGTGTATAAAATGAGTCCTGTCATGTGTGGGGCTAAATTTGTAATTTTTTACAAAACAGGTTTTTTGTTTTATTTTTTGAGATCTAATGATAACACAACATAACTACAAACATGTTCGAAACTATACACTATACAGGGTGTCTCAAATTGAGTCGGATAACATGGCTATCTTTGTTATTATTGTATTCGGTTAAATTGGCAAAGTTGTGCAGTTTTTGATGCTGATGGCTATTCCAATGCTATATTTTGAAAAAAATCGTTTCGTAGATAATTGAAAAAAGTGAAAATCGCCATTTTTAAAAAGTTCAAATGGACGCCATATTGGATTTTTACGTCACTCGATAGAGAAAAAATTTACAAAACCAGTGATACTAAACACTTAGTATTTCATTTGGGAATAAACCTTACATTTTTGCCTAGAAGTTTACAATGTATTTCTGACGGCAATCATTCCAAGGCTGTGTCGATGGTGACTAGGCGAAACAATAAACGAACGAATTTGGTTTCAATCATAATCAGCCATGGAATTATTTCCATAAGAAATACATTGTAAACTTCGAGGCAAAAATGTAAGGTTGCTTCCCAAATGAAATAAGTATCACTGGTTTTGTAATTTTTTTCTCTATCGAGTGACCTAAAAACCTAATATAGCGTCTATTTAAAATAAGGAAGTTGATGCCATTATCTCGGAAACCGCCATTTAAAACATTTTTTTCCTACGTTTATTGAATTTATCCCATCGAATCTTTTATTTGCAACTTTTTTCGATAGCTCTCTTTGTTACTAAAATATTTGAACTTTTTAAAAATGTCGATTTTCACTTTTTTTTAATCATCTACGAAACGATTTATTTTTTTCAAAATATCGCATCGGAATATCCATCAGCATCAAAAACTACACAACTTTGGCAATTTAACCGAATCTGTAAGTATAAAAATAACAAAGATAGCCATGCTATCCTACTCAATTTAAGACACCCTGTATTCGATTAAGAATTATTGTATAAACGTACAACATAATGTATTTTTATATCATTTCCCAAAGGAATTCGCGAGCACTATCTGCAAAGGTAGAAGAAATAGTATAACCAAGATGTTATACGTACTTATGGGTGGGGGCTACAAACTGGAAACTCTTGTAGTCTCAAGATTTTCAAAACTGGTTACTCAGAAGTTATCACACGTTCTAAGTAATCGACGCCATTATCAGTGCAAGATTTTCAGCAATATTTTCAAGTTACGTATACGGCCGTATATTTGCGTATTTAGCAAATTTTCATTTCTACATACGCTGATTAAAAACTACTTTTAAACGTATACCTGCATATACCCTCCAATACAGCACTTCTAATATGACATGTTAAAGTTTACAACTGCACTAGGACTTTTTTTGTAGAAGGTGAAAAGCCCGAAACCAAACAGAAGAGGCTCGAATCGAAATATGCGGCTTTACAAATCGTACCGAACATTGAAAAATTGGGGACCGCCAAGGTATATTCTTGCGACAAGTTTCGTTTTCATAAATCCATTTTTAGCAAGCGATGATATCTAGAGAAGGCGATCTTTTAACGAGGGAACGGTTATGTTGCGGACTATCAGTTTTTGAAGTGGTGCTGAATCGACTGCGTAGCTTTCTGGATGATCCAGTTTGGGTTGGACCCCCACCGACTAACGGTGTCATGAACGTTGACGAATGCACCGAATTTCATCGGCTGTGGTCAGCCTTGCAATTTGTTTACTGTATTCCTGTCGGTGATACTGAATACACTGTGGAGTAAGTGCGTCACTTGATTAAATGGGAGTTACTAATTTTTTTTTCCAAAGGGAACTCTTTGGAGAAGGTCTTCACTGGGCAGGTTGCACAATGATTGTCCTGTTGGGACAACAAAGAAGATTCGAGGCACTCGACTTCTGTTATCACATACTACGTGTGCAACGTGTTGATATGAAAGATGAAATTGTGAAAGGCATCGTAAGTGTTAATGATGATGTACAAAAAAGATTGTGAGCTAATTTTGACATTTACAGAGTTTGAAACGAATGGTGGACAGAATTAGACGGTTTCAAGTTTTGAATTCTCAGATATTTGCGATTTTAAATAAATTCTTAAAGTCTGGCGAAAATGATGAAATGTCAGTTGAACATGTAAGGTGCTTTCCACCGCCATTGCATCCTTCGTTAACACCACAGCAGCATTATCACGCACCTGAACATCTTCGTCAAGCAATGATGATTTAACTCATTTACTGCAAAATATTTTCCATATTGCATGATATCTGCATTATCACAGATGTAAGCAATATTGGCATGTGTAGCTATATAAAGAGCTGCTATTTGTATGTATTATGGAAATACTAAATTTTGCCAAATTACACTTACATTTTGAGAATAAACAAAAGAATTGGTATTTTTCCATCTGTGTAATTACATTAGGTTATATGCACCTATTCTTAGTCATAAGTCACATTTACATATTCCATCATATTTATACAAGCATTTTTCATATTTTACATTATTTTATTTAAAGTTTATAAGCATCACGTGGTAAAGCAAATAAATACTTTCTTTTGTTAACGCCCAGAGAACCAATGTTTAATGGCACAGTTACCTTTACAAACCCACTTTATTTATTTTTCGTACGGATGGCGCTCCCGTGGTTTTCAGATTGCATCAACCGCCGTCTGTGCGACCCTAACGATAGTCATGGTATGACTGTCGGGACCGCCAGCTTTACATGCACTCCGAAGCATGGTAGTTGTATTATACATCTCCCACTTCCTGGCACACGATAGGCAAAAAATAGCCTTAAAATAGATCTAAATGATGCAAACCAGATTTTTCTTATTTCCCTTTGATCCTCCGGTTCGTTCACATGGTAAAGGCCTCAAAAAAGTCTCATTGACACAAGGTTTGACAGAAAGTTTAACGGCTCAACCAGTTTACGTCTTTCCCAAACTTTATTTTTAGTACATTTTGCAAAAAAGTATCGCTTATATATTTACTTTGGCTGTTCGGTCGGCTGCAAAGATTTTTTAAGTATATCTTTTGAAGGAATTATCGTAGAATGCTTGGGTTTGTAGCATTAGCTTTGTGTCACAATTCTTTGCATGCAGATTATATTTTGAAAGCGGATCCGTCGTACAAAAACGCGCTTAAGTAGCTCGACGCAGCAAGTACTTTCCAACTTATTGTTTCTATTTACTGTCTCGAGATGAGGTTCACTGTATAATCGACTTTTTTTCGAGAAAAAGTTTATAGTGTAGTATTTTTTTTACTGTTCAAGAGCATTGGTCTCTCAACTTTACATTTGCGACTGCCCATTTATGTGATCCCTTTGTTTCTACTATTTAATTATTTATGTTTTGCTGTAGTTTACTTTTGCTATCTTCTAGTAAGTTATTTTTTGCTTCTTCTGTTTCCATGTATAAAGTACTTTTTATGAACGCCTGTGGGTTTTTGTTAAAGTCTATTGCATTATCTTTGATATGTCATTCAGCATTCCTATTCTAGACTACCATGATATTTTTCTTTTTTCTCCATTTCCTATTCATTTTCTTTTTAATTTCATTTATTTTTTATACATTTAACCCAACTATATCCACCTTTATGCCTGCGCCAAAACTCCCAGTACAGACTTGCAGTAAGTATACACTAAAACATATTAAATGCTTCTTGGTTAGAAATCGGCATTTTAGAAAAGACAACAGAAAAGATAACAAATTCAAAAAATTGCACTTTCTCAATGTAAACACAGCGGAATATTTACAAATTACAGCTGTTATTATTTTTTTGCGCGATCGGTCATTTCTGACTATTTACCATATGTGTTTCCATGACAGTACGTAGCATTTACCAATTGCTATGATTACGACGACGCCAAAATTACTTACCGATCTAAAAACAGAACAGCAAAAATACTTACCGACGCCTTTTTAAAAACAATCAGTTCAAAATCAACAGTCTAACATTTAATCTTTAATTATTGTTAGGTACATTAAACGTACAATTTGTGCTGTTGTTTCCTATAGCAAGACGCTCATAAAGTCATAAAGGAAGTGCAAAGCTAGCAAACTACATCAGACACGTGCACAATTTCATGAAATTATTAATTTCAATTTTGACATTTAAACTGGTTACCTAGTGATGTACACCATACCACTTCGATCATTTCGATTTATTCTGCTCGTTAATTTCTTAGTGCATATTTATATTGGTTGCATAATTTTAATTTCGATCGCGCAAAAAATGTTATAAGCACGTCGAACGTTAAGGGTTACCGTTCTCAGACAATAATTGGAGTCGTCGCTTCGCTCCTCCTCCAAACAATTGTCTTCGAACGGTAAAAATCCCTTACCGTTCTCCATACTTAATATACTATATAATGCATCATGTTTCATTTGTTTAATTTTCTAAAGCCTACCTAAAAGTGTAGGGTGATTTTCCAAACAATCTTTCGCGCCATCGACAAATACCGGCAATACATCAAAAGTAAATTTAAGATACAATTTAAGCATTTTAATTAATTAATTAATCTTATTTTTCCAATATTTGAGCTAAAGAACGAGATTTTGAAAAACGGTTTTCACTTGCCTCTGGATTTTATTTGGCTACTTTTTCATAAAGAAAAAGTCATATTCCATTTGATCTTTTTTAGGATTTTGGATCATAGGTTTGTTCGTTTGTCTGCACTAATCAACACTGGTGTACCAAATGCGTTCGTTTGTCTGTTTGTAACTGCATGCATTCCGTTCGTTTGTGTAGTGCAATTTGCCCATTTCAGTTCATAACAGCACAAACTTGTTCGTGCATTTTAGTGCGAGCAACTTAGTGCAGCATAAATTAGACGTGAAACGACCGTTCTCATAACCATAAACATTTTGAAAAAACAAGGTGGGGAATCTGCGATGAATAAATTATTGGAAATGAAACTTTTATTTCATGATATTATTGAACAATTTATAAGTAGATCGTCAAGTGAGGAAGATAATATTGCAGAGGTCATACAACAAGTAAATGAAAAATAGTTTCCTGTATAATAAATAATAAATTTATCACTCATGATGCAATACAAACGTTTTTTGCTGGTTATTTATTTACTATACGCTAAATAAGCGTTCGTTTGTTAGATGCCAGTGCATCAAAAACTGATTACTCCAGCTTACACCGTGACGTCACATCAGTGTTGCACCAAACCAATCGCGCAAGACAAACGAACAAACCTGTCAAAACTAGCCCCCTGGCGGAGAAAGATTCAACTAAATTAACTATATTGATTCTTATTGCGCAAAGAATGCTCTTTTCAACGATACCAAATTTATTACAATCGGTCAAACGGTTAAGAAGTTAAAGCAGGTTACTGCACGCCCCACACCATCTTTGTTTTTGAAATAATGAGTTTTTGTTTTTACGAAAATGATAAACTGGTTCTCTATAAAAATGTGAAAAAAGAATGTTTTGTTTATTATGCGAAATTGAAAGCAAATGCAATTTTAAAATTTAAGATGGCAACTTGAAAATATTTTCCAGCGATTCTTCATAACCGTTTACCCAATAATTTTTTTTCCCCGTAAGTCATAAGACGAATGGTTCCCGAGATGGCCGAGGAACAGTCTTATTGGGTCACCTGGTACTTTGAAACAATCTTTTTTCTATCAAAAAGGTCCTAATTGCACCATTTTTATAGGTCACAATATAGAAATAATATGACAACCGCAGAAAGATCTGGTATCTCTTCTGAATTCCCAGATTTAAACTTATAAGTTTGCACACAGATCTGTAAATTAATAAAAAATAATTCGTATGGTGGTTCTACGCTTCTGTAGTACCTAACTCCTGCTAGTGTAGAAATTACAAAAAATAATTTATAGGTACCTGTGCATTTTCTTTAATTTATCCATCACTGGTTTAGTATAAGCACATTCGCATAATCGACACTTATACACAGATATATTGTGAATTAACAGCTAATTCAACTTTCAATTTTTGTGCAATGATTATGACTTATGCAGAGCTTAATTTTTTATTACAAATGTCCAATTAATTTTAACCTTATATGCTATGCAGACCTTTATACCATTTTTAACTTACCTATCCAAAAATATGTACGGACCAAGAGTCATAATGGTTATATGTACTTATGTAGACAATGTCTTTGTGGAATAAGTAAAATTTAGTGGGATCAAGGTCACTTTTTTGAACGTTTGTGTTTCAATAGATGACGCTTAAGATAAGACTTGCTATATGTGATATAGCTACACCTATCACAAAGAAAATCTTTAGACCTATGCTTTCGAACATGTTCTCTTAAGCAGAGCTTATTGTGTGTTACATAACTGCATTGGTCACATTTCAAATCCTTGATACGTTTATGTGTAATAAGATGCTGGATTAGATGCTTCCTGAGAGTTGTTGTGTAGTTACACTGACTGCACTTGAAGTTTTTAGTAGCGGAATGTGTTACAAGATGTTGAGTAAAGTGCCACTTGCTCATCGTTGCGAAATTACACTGGATACATTTAAAATCTTTCAATAATTTATGTGTTAACAGATGTCGTTTAAGATACGATTTAGTATTAGTGGCAAAACCACACTCGTCACATTTGATATTTTTAGGTCCATGTATCAACTTGTGCGTTCTAAAACGCCCCTTTGCAGTTGTTTGATAATTGCACTGTTCACATTTAAATTCTTCCACCAGGAGTTTATGTGTTGACAAATGTCGTCTAAGATGCATTTTACTATTAGTGGTAAAATCACACTCGTAACATTGGATCAATTTAGGCTCATGTGTCGACATGTGCATCTGGAAATTTCCCTTTACAAATGTTTGGTAATTGCACTGTTCACATTTAAATTCTTTCACCAGGGGTTTATGTGTTGAAGCATGTATTTTCAAATGACGCTTATCGTTTGTTTCATAATCACACTGATGATGCTGACATTTGATTTTTTCCATCGCAGGCCGGTGTATTAGGATGTGTTGCCTGACATCATCCTTATTCGTCGCTCTATAGTCACACAGGAAACAATTGAAAACTTTTGGAGGTGCATGTATTAAAAGATGTTTCTGTAAATATGTGCAATCATTTGTGGCATAATTGCATATGTGACAGGTAAAATATGCGTAATTTTTGTGTGTTAAGAGATGCTCCATTGATAAATTCATATTAGTTGTTGTATAATTGCAAAGGGAACATTTGAAGTCGGTTTTTTGCTCCTGTGCAGAAGTTTCTTGAAGAGAGCAAATCTCATTTTCATGTACGACAGACACTTTTGGGGTAGAATAAGCTGAACCTTCCGTAGTGGTTCCTTCTGGACGACAGCAATTGTTACCTTTGTTTTCAAATGTCGACATAGATTTAGGAAGGTCACCTGCATGATGATCACAGATTTCATTTTCAATAACTTTATTAGTTAGTTTTATACCCTGTTCGTGGGGCTTAATTATCTCCTTGGTTGTATTTTCCTCCTGAGATTTAATTTGAGGCTTTCGCCTTGTGTATGTTAAAACATGCTCTTTAAAACGTGATTTTATAATCATTTGTAAATCGTCCTCATCATTATTATTAGCCTTT